GGTCAAAACGCGGCCTTAAGTATCCGAGACGCTGACTTGTGGGGCGAGGAGAACCACCCATCCGCTGGGGCACGCCGTATTGGGTAGCCAGGGCGTGGCACCACGTAGTCACTGTAAGCCTCCACGTGGGGGCCACACGGGCATATAATACTGTTATAATACGCAGTATATTGCTCGGCCACCTACTCATGCCTCGTCCTCGTTGTGATCTAGACTTCCTCAAGGTTGACCCAACCTGGCTGGTTCCAACTTGCTCGACCTCGATCTCGGGTGCGGTATCCTTGGTGCATCTCCGTGGCTGCTCGTTCTGTGTCGTCATCCTCGCTCTGGTCCCTGGGAATCCCTTCGTTCTCGACATCCTCACGTCCTCGACTGGTCTCGCGCGGTCCTCGCCAGACATCCTCGTAGTCCGCATACAGGTCAAACTCGGCGGCTTATTCGCCCAATGCACGTCTCGCAGGTCTCCGTCCAGGTCCTTCTCGGCTGCGCGCTCGTACAGACGTCCTCGTAATCTTCGTCAGGATCTACGGGCGTCTGGCAGGAAGCGTCCTCTTCGACATCGTAGGGCGGCTGATACCTGCACTAATGAGCTCCTGGAGTTTGACTGGGTCTGCGGCATCCAGGCAGGCCCGTCCACAGCATCATAGGACAGGCGAACCTCTACTGGCGAGCTCCTGCTTCCGCTGGATCTCGGGTGTCCTGGCGAGCAGCGATCTCCGATGACGTTTTCTAATGGCTTCCGAAGGTGATCGTTTCTGCAGCAGGGCCTCCTTCGGTGTCGTTTCAGATATCGGGAACCAGACTAACACATAATGGGCCAGATAGTGAGAGAAGGAAAAACGACAGAGAAGAGGTGTTAAATGCTACAAGCCGATTTTTTGTTTCATAATTTGCAGTTTTTAAAGTTGAATTTTTGTTATTTTCGTCTTCTTTTTTTCATTTTGTGCTTTATGTTCACAAAGTTAAGCTAAAAGAAGAAAATAGAAGAGGGAGACGTTGGTAGCGATCCGCAAGGATCCTCTTGAGCTACCATCATCTCGTGAAATGCTAAAGTAAGGGAAACGACCATTGGCATTCCGCAAGGAATTACTTGAACCAAATGTCGAAACAGAAAGTAAAGTATGTAAATACGAAATCATGTACAAGTCACGCATCACGACTAACAATATTGTGGCAAACAAATACGTATGCCTGCACTAAGACAGCAGCAAATCCTATTAATGAAGGTTTCAGTGTCTTTTGTTCTGCGTTGGTGAGTGAGTGAGTATGTGTGCATGTTTGAGTGACAGTGATTGATGAGTGTCAAATGAAGTAAGAGTGACCTCCTATAGCAATAGCGTTGCCAACATGCTGAATAAAGTTCATTTTAACAATAATGCGACTAATTATTTATAGACGTAATTCAAACTTATTTCAAGTACCACATTGAATTTAACATTTAATGATATGCGACAAAATGACACATTAATGAATGGTGACGTGATAATTATTCACAAGCCTTTTTGCGAGCAAATCTTCTCGGGAATTTCCCCGAGGAAGTAGGTGTCTTTACCGACCATGCAGACTTCATTTGAGGGGGGACGTGACCCAAAAATTGCCGTATTTTATGAAGCTTAAACGAGCTAGGAAAATCTATAAATTACCCACTCTATCTGCGGATCTATGATGGGCGCTCATGAAATGCCCTTCGGGAATTTATCATGAATCACGAACCGATGGGATTTTACCCAACATGACGGAGACATATAAAAGTGTGAGCAGGTTGTGATTAATTAAGTGGATCCTAAATCAGACATAAATCCTAGTCCTAAATTAATGGACATAATTGCGGTCACCCTGGTTCAAAGTTTGCCGAACGTATGATCTACTTCAGTTACCTTAACCTACTCTCATACGTGAGTCATTACGCATAATTGCAACCTTTAAATGAGGATACCTCTTGGCGTTATATTTAGTTATACAAGTCGCGTTACAAGTTCCATTCTAGTGGCGATAGAATTTGTCACCATGAACAAGTAACGGTTGCTATGCATTAACCCTATATTGTGACCACTAGTTCAAACAATTAAAAGGGAATTGCAAGCTGTTTTCTCAGCCATATCACTTTGACAATCACCCAAGGTCAAGTCAGGTCATAGCTACCAGCTGTTTAGGCAGGCTGACTTAATGACTTTCACATGAGGACAGGTCAAAACAGGAAATGGGGAGAGAAGAATTTAATGAGTGAATGTTCGTGAAAGAATAAATTCACGAACGCGCTAAATTCGCATGATTGAAACAATATAATTTAATCACGAAAAAAAATTAAATAGACGCTTAATAAATGAACGATTTCATACTGTTTAACTCCATACCGCGATTGACAGTAATGAGAAGTGAGGTCAGAGAATGAGAAATGAGAGTATGCCAATGCTATACTTAGCACTTTTAACCAAAAACTAATGTGAGCTGGCTGTACACGGCCTAACACATTTAGGAAAAAATAGAAAAGAAATGAAAAGAGAAAGGGGCCCAAAATGTGTACTAACAGTTTCTTGAAGAAATGTCATCTTGCGTTTGCTTGAAGCCGAGCGGTTTTCTTCGGAGGATGATTCAGTTGTGTGCCAAAAGGACACAACTACCACCGCTATCACCAGAATGTAAGGGTTATTGAAGGCCCTCTACACATTGGTGACAGGAAGTAGTAAAATCTTAGTGGCTTAAAACTCTTTATTCTATAAGAGCAAGCACACGAGATGTTAACACAATTATGACCATTAGGTATCGCGCAGTCAGCTGGGAGGGGACGGTCAGCCCTGACCTGAGCCGGCCAGGCTGCCGACCTTGGGTCAGCCAGCAGCAGGCACACTCTGCCTGACCGGTCGAAACGCGGCCTTAAGTATCCGAGACGCTGGCTTGGGGGGGCGAGTAGGACCGCCCAGCCGTTATGGGCACGCCTGCATGGGTAGGCCGCATGGGCACCACGTGGCCACTTCAAGCCTCCACGTGGGGATCACGCGGGCATATAATACCGTTATAATACACAGTATATACACTGATACACGTAAACGGTAGGCATTCGTCAGGAGTGCCGTCAGTGAAATGTTGGTGGACGAAGGAGTGAACTGTTCAGGCCAAAACTCATGCACCCGGGGTAGGATAGCCCAGAAGCCCAGATAAAGCAAGGTAGCCACTGGTGGACCAGGCTGTAGCTATTGGTTATTCACTCGGTTCAAATAGAGGCTGCAATAAATAGTTCAAGTTAAAATAGTTCTATTCCTCACTTTATTTAAAGGAAGTTTAAAAAAGAAAAACACACATAAAATAATATAAACATTAAAAGAAATTAAAATTTACATAAATCTGAATAAACGACAAAAATGATATCCGTGGGCTAGTTGAGGGGTTAATGCCCTTTGAAGATATTCCCTCGGCCTTGTCCGTCGCCATCTTGGGTGCCATCTTAAAATCACCGTATCTAAGGAGGAGACCTCCTGACGTCAGGCCTTGAGTGGGATATCGGGACGTCATTACCTTGGATAGCTTGGCCAAATCCCTTCGAAATCTAAAAATGTCCTGTATGTCTCCACCATCCACCTGCAGCGCCTCCATCGGTGCCTCCGTGAGTATCCTCGCGTCTTGGTCCCAGCATATAATATTGGTCGCGGGGACTTTTTACGATTATTTAGTTTCATGCTGAGCAGGTGTGGGTCGCCGGAAGAGGCAGTAAGAGCGGCAGCTCACTACAACCCCTCCCCCACCTGGTAGAGCGAAATCCACGACGTCTCATATGGCTGGTCCTTGAAGTCCAACCAGTCTGAGAAGCATGTCCATTCCTGACAAGATCTTGTGCGTGCAGAACCGTTAGACGCGCGTGCGCGCGCGTGCATCTCCTAGAAGTAGGAGTAGAGATAAAGTCGGAAAATTCCAATAAAACATTTTGTAAAAGCATAAAAGTATTAACGTTTTCAAAATATCAAATTATAGGTTGACATGCATCAATCATCTTCTATTTTTGAGTTCCGACGGGTGTAGAGAATGTAGTCCTGAGTAAATTTCGCTCCGTTTTTAGGGTTGGTGTGTGCACGTGCAATACTGCTTTTCAGGCGTGCACATACCGAACCTTAGATTTCGTCTTGTGTGTGCACTGGTCATACTCCTCAGACTGGAAGTCCAACTGCCCCTGCTGGCGAGAGCTACTCACATCCTCTGCTGCAGTGTTCAAGGGCGCCTCGGTTGGATCACAGGGACATCGTGAGACGACGGTGACGAAGCTCTCCCTGACCTTCGTCTCCATGGTAGTGGCTGTGACATTCTCTCCACATTCCTTCCAATACTTTTTACACCACACACTCTGCCACTACCTTTAAAAATCAGTCCTCAAGTGCTGAAACTGGCAAGTTGTTCCACCAGAAACGGAGGAGTGAGGGGTCTATTGAGGAGACTCCTCCTGAAGTAAGGTCTTTGGAGCCATCAGGGGGGGGGTGAACCGGACCAGAGGGCTACCCATAGTGAGGGATGAGACAAAATGTCTTCCTGGTGCACTAAGGCTTATGAGAGGGAATGGTGCACACACCCGTTTCATTTCATCTTGGACCAGGGAGAACTCTCCCACGTGTGTTTGCCGTGTATGGCGTCCCGTATTAACGGGAGACAGGAGTCCTGGAGGTTGAGTGATGCTGCACGCTGCGCCCTGCAGCCAGCAACACACATCTTTGGTCCTCTATTCTGGTTAAATGGGTAGCTTGATCAAGGCCCAGTCAAGTCAATCGGCTAGTCAAATATGGCTAAGGTCAAGCAAGCACTGTCCAGTCGATAGCGCATAGGTCCCACGACTACAATCAGCACTGTAATAGTGACTGTGTATATTTCCTCACTACCCCTGTGCCCGTTGGGAAAATCTGAGCCCCAACTATAGATTTCCCTCGTTGGACTCCATGGTGTTTGGGGGGGGGGGGGGGGAGAAAATGAAGATTTCTAATTTGTATGATATCTACAAATTTACAAAGAACTTGCTCTCTCTCTGACGACCTTCGCAATCACCTGGCCAGTCCCTCTGGAACATCACATGTCACTCTGGAACCTTACCAGATTCCAAAGGGCAAGAATGGGAATTGTAATGGTTCCCGAGCTCCCAAACCAGGTAAGGAGAAAAGTCCTAATCAATCCATTAAAGAAATCTTACCTGGTAAATATGAAAGTGTATCATATAGTAAATACCTAGTAGTAAAGACCATTGATGGTGTAACAATCATGGACCTTGATATTTTTGAAGTACATCGGAAGATAGTTGAGGTATGTCAACATGATCCTTGTATCACCCAACAGTGAGATGGTAGCCTGATAGTTGCAGTTTCATCATCAGACGAGAGTGACAGTCTGCATGCGGTATGCAACATTCCTGGGGCTCAATTCTCATGTTTTCCTCACAAAACAGTCAATCAGTGTAAGCGAATTGTCTTTTCCTGAGGTCTGATGAGGTATTCTGAATAGAAACTGGCAACTGGTTTTACTGGTAGTAAAAAGTTTTAAGAAGAAAGTTGATGGTTTGGAACAGTCGACACCAGCTCTCCTAACTTTTGAAACGTTAGTCCTTCCTGAATCTGTTAAGGTGGCATGGTACCACCTCAAGGTAAAGCCATATGTGCCCATCCCTATGTGGTGCTTCCACTCTCATGGTTATGGGCATGGAGCAAACTCTTGCCGTTTTAAGGAAAATCATCAAGGTTCAATATGCTGTTACCACTACAAAGATCATGAAACTTCTTCTAAGCAATGTAAAAGGTATAATTTGGGGGAAAAAATGGTAATAAGGAGCAAGGAGGTTACTTTTGCAGAAGCAAGGGGACATGCCCATATGCTGCTTGCACAGCCGGGTAAGGCCTTTGCCTCGGTTCTAGCCCATCCTCCTTCCTGCCATCCTTTACCTTCCAATACTTTTTACACCACACACTCTGCCACTACCTTTAAAAATCAGTCCTCAAGTGCTGAAACTGGCAAGTTGTTCCACCAGAAACGGAGGAGTGAGGGGTCTATTGAGGAGACTCCTCCTGAAGTAAGGTCTTTGGAGCCATCAGTTAAGGCTCCAGAGGCCTCAACGGTGACAGCTCCATCTGCCATCACATCCACGAGGGCCTCTGCTGCTAGGCAGAATGCCCCTGAAGTGTAGGTTCAGGTGCGCCCTTTACCCAGACAGAGGAATCCTGAGCCTGTTCATCTATCTTCCTCCACATAATCTCAACATAGATGATTTGGAAGATCTACTTGGGCAGTTGCCTCATCCATTTTTACTCTTGGGAGATTTCAATGCATCAACTCTGGTGAGACACTTTGTGCAACCCTCAAGGAAGGTCTTTGGAGTCCTTTGCAATCTTACTGAACAGTGGCACACCCACACTTTTCCAAATTCAAACTGGGACATTCTCCAATATTGACCTGTTAATTGGTTCACCTGATTCACAGTTGAATTTCACTTGGCTGGTCATGGAAGACTTACTTGGAAGCAACTACTTTCCAATACTTTTGGAGGAGGTGAATGGTACTCCAGCCAACGGATTGCAGAGATGGCGACTTGAACATGCAGACTGGAAACTTTTTAGATCAACCGCAGTATTGCAAGAGTCTGTGAATAATTTCAGGTGTGTTCAAGATGTTGTTAATCACTTCAAATCACTGGCATCAATTCCCAAAAGTAACGGTCAGTACCATCGACCTCCGGTACCATGGTGGTCTGATGAATGCCAACAAGCTGTCAGAGCAAGAAAAGCTGCATTAAAGCAGTTAAACGACCCAAGCCAAGGCCAGACGATTGCTATAGGAGGCTAGACGAACGTGGTGGAGGCAGCATGTTTCTTCAATTAACTCTGAGACCCCCTTCACAAGCTGCTAGTTAAAGCAATGAAATAGTTATCTTGAGAGAGTGTACCTGATTTATTGGGTTTCAAGTAGGGGAGGATAATAGTTTCTCGCCAATGAGAAGGAAAATTTCCTGTCACTCATATATGATTGAAAATAGTTAGTAGGAAGGATGGAGAGGAAGATGGAAGGTGTTGGAGCATACATTAGTGAATACCGTCAGGGCCTTCATGGGTGTTGCAGCACGACTGAAAGGCAGCACTGAAGTCAGAGGAAGAAAAAAGAGCATTATAGGACTCAGCAGAGGGCAAGGTGAAGATGATAGGGGTGTGTTCTCTGATGGTCTTAATGTGGAGAAAGGTGAGAGCCACTACTAACCTGGCGGAAATAGTCACCTAGTTCATTAGCTACTTGGAGAGGATCAGAGATGGGAGTATCTTGAATATGGAGGACGGGGACTGGATAGGGGAATTTTTGCCTGATAGGTTTTGGATCTGACACCTAACAGCTAAAATAGTTGTGGACATAATTGAGCAAATAATTTCGCCAGCTAGTTCTTTTACTGTTCTTGATTGTACGTGGAAGATAGGCTCTCTTAAAGGAGATAAGGGCAGATAGTTATCAGGGTGCCTCGTTCGTAGTGATAATTGTTCCAGGCTGCACGTTGTAAGTGAAGCTTTTTGGTGCAATCCGAATTCCACCATGGAATACGTTTGGCGATATAGAGTCTTGAAGTTCGAGGAATGGCTGTATAGGCAGTTCTTAGAACTGTAACTGTGAAACACCGTAGCAAATCTGAAATGGACAAGAAGTGGGATGGAGGGGTAGGAATGGAGGGGTAGGAATAGTAGAGAGGGAAATAAAAGTACGTCAGTCAGTTCTATCAAAGCAATAGTGTGGGGGATTAGGAAGTGTTACATATGAAGTAAGAGAAAGGAGGATTGGAAAATGGTCTAGAATTGACCAATGGAAATCTAAATGGAGAGAGAGGTCAAGGCGTGAAAAATATTGCATGTGCATGTCAAAGTATAAGGGGTGATCTAAATTAAGAATAATAAGGTCAGAGGAAGTGTTCTAGGGATCGGCCACAGGAGGTAGTGTTAGAATCACCCCTAAGTTAAAATCACCAACTACAAGGAAAGGTGGCTGGAGTTGGAAAATTAGAGTTTAAAAAACACGAAAGTCAATGGGGTGGGATGGGGAGAAGTGGACTGTAATATTGAGAGAGTGGTTCTGATGGGGAGTGTGGGTAATTGGGAATTGGTATAGGAGGATGTGTAAGAAAAGTCTCTTGGATGGGCTATTAGAAGAAAGGATATGGCAAAAGTCAGGTGTGTAAGAACTTAAACCAAGAATATTCTAATGTAGGAGAGCTATTACTCAGTTGATCTATGAGTGATCACTTTATACATGTTGGAGAATTTAAAGGGAAAGAACTTCAGGGGTGAGATAAGGAATGAGAGGGGGGAGGAAGTGTAGTATTAGGAGGTGAAATAAAGAATTCACATATGTATCTAGGACGGAATGCAAGGGAAGGTTGGGATGGAAGGAGTGTAAATGTAGGTGGAGCTGGAGCTGGGGGGGGATGCGGTGTGTTAGGAGGGGTGTAGGGGAAATATGAGTAGGAGGATTATGGATATTGTCAGTCACTTTGAGTGTGGAAGGAGTGGGAGTTGTAGAATTGGAGAATGTCAATTTGGGATTTGAGTAGATAGTTTTGAGTATCTTCAGGAGTTTCTGTAAAGGAGTTGGTTGGTTAGTTTTAAGAGACGAAGGTTTACTTAAGAGGGGGGAGAGGAGACTGGTGTCTGAGGAGTAGAGTCAAAGGTAGGTGGAGGTGAGTGTGTGGTAGGAGAAGGGGTGGAACATTTAGTCTGTCTGCTGCGGGGAGGGAGAGGGGAGGGTGTTGGGGTTGTAGTAGAGATTGGAGTGTCTGGATTTAGAATGGCAAGAGAATTTGACTGTGGTAGGTATCAGGTAGAATTGCGGAAGATGGAGGTGGGATAGGTATAGGGGAAGGTGTAGAAACATCTTGGGAGGGAGAGAAGGGGCAGAGTGAGTGACATTATTGGAGTAGAGGGTGAGAGAAAAACTTGTCAACATACTTTCTGTCTGGCTTCTCGCAGAGTGAAACATTGTCTGAATCTGAGTGTTGCCACCTCAGACTCAAACTTGTAGGTGGGGCAGTCCCTATAAAAAAAAACATTATGGGGGCCGCCACAGTCAGCACATGTGTGTGATTGTGTAGAGCAGTTTGATTGGTTATGACCAGGTTGGGCACATAGAGAGCATCTGGCTGTGTGAGGCTGCATTGTTTGGCAGGATGTCTTAAATGCCAGCAATTTTGGCACTGACAAGGAGGAGGTTGATATGGTCAGACAGGGAGGGATTCTCCACCAATATGAACATTAAAGGGGAGGGTCTTGTCTGCAGAATGTTGGT